GTAATTAGCAACCGACCAGATGATTCTTATTAATAATTAACGAGTGAAATGATAGACTAATTATTGCCAATAAAATAACACAAACTCACCTGATCGATGATGAAATAATTTCTGTCATCATTCAATTCGATCATCCCGATCCGAAAATTTGCTCAATGTTTGGACGAATCAACTGCAGTCAGTGTCTGTTGCAGACTGAATCACATCTATGTACATTAATATCTCTGTCAATTCTGAGTAACGTTTTCCCTCCGTAGGGATATCGATTGAAACGTATAGAAAATGTATAGGTCGGTATCAATTAATTAGAGGGTGCACTTACTCTGTATTTCTAGCATCAATACTATCATCATTATTCATCAGGTCAATTGATTATTTACTTTTCAATGCATTTCAATTACAGCATAGTGCATTAATAATTAGAGTTATGAAGGGAGCAATGGAAGCAGGTCTGAACGATTTTTTATGGAAGATATTTTATGAATTTTTTAATGATAAACCGGAATTTCTATGAAACCACTATTCTGCATATAAATTTCTATGGATATCTCCCATTATTGGTTCGGTTTGATACCTTAAAAATTGTAATTTTCTTGATATTAAAAATACCTTTTTTTTTCAATTTTATTACGCGCAAAAGTCAAATTTTTTTTTAAGTTTTTGACCATTTTTTTTTTGGTTTCGGAGAGGATAAAAAATATTTTCCGTCCTTCAATACCTATCTCTGACGTAAATTTTCCATTCTTTCGAATGAGCATGATTTCAATTAACTCATACCGTTGGAAATGGGATAAAATAACCAGTAAGGTTTAAAATTACATACTGTATACCTCCTTCCCCCTTTTTGATTACTGATTTTCTTTTTCTCTTCGTTAAACCGACTCGTTTTACGAGAAATCCCTCATTAAAATTTATCGAAAAATTAAGGTAGGACTCACTCCATTCTATCCATTTTTTTTGTCGTTTATTTTTTTATTTCTTTCCACTACAAGTTTTCACTAATAGTTCCGTTATAACTAAAACTCTTTTATAATTTAAAAAAGTGTCGAAAGCCAAACAAAATTTTTACTGAAAGAATAGGGGGAAAGTTTATAGGGAGAAATAGGCACAACTGCAGAGATATAAGGGAATCCGTAAAACTTTGCTGACAATTTTCATCGATTAGTTATGATTGAAATTGATAGTCATTTATTTTATTTAAAAATTCTCAAAATTAATTAAGCTTGTTTCGATATGTAATATGTCCATAACATAACGCGTAACTATCGTGATATATGAGAATATATGCGAGTTTCATGAAGCGCAAACATTCTGAGATTTAAGTCATTGAAAATAATTTACTTCCCTCAAGTAAATACGGTCTACATATGAGGAAATTTTGCTCTCAGTATACCCAGAAAACAATTTTTGCCAGTGCCATCTAAAATTTAAGAGGACATNCTAGAATTCTTCATAATTCGTAATTCTCAATTTTCAGGTCCATACGGTACTGAAAAACCATGAAAATTTTGAAAATCCAGGCAACAACTTTTCTGAATTTTCGAATTATGGAAAATTCAAGCTTTCATTGAAAAATCAATGATTCTTTAAAATGAAAAACCCAATTTTCTTGAATTTTCAAGATGAATGAGAAATGTAGTGNGGTCTCATAAATCCTCACAGTGTGAATGTTTTTTTAGCACACGTTAAAAATGCCTCGACTTAACTATTTTCAGTTCTCTTGCGTCAACTTCCCAATGAGATAACAAAAAACAAATTCTGCGGAAAAAATTTGATAAATTCATGTCCAAGCATTTTTATAGAAAATATCTCAATAGAATAAATTGCTCAGAAAAACCAAAATTTATTATTTCAATAGAATTTTTTAGATTTCCTGATGAATCAAACCCAGAGTTAACTCTGGATTAATGCAAATTTCCCAGAGTTTCTCTCTTTCTTCGTTGGGTTTTTTTCCATAAATCCAGAACTGACCCATAGTTAACTTTGGGTTTGATCTATAAGGGTTACACAGTAAAAAAAAATCGGTGTTGCTGTCTCTGGTTTGAGGGGTCAAATATTCCAGTGTTAAACTTAACTCTCTCACCCGGAATGTGGTACGGAGTTAATTTTTATTTTTCACACTGAACTGTGCTGATTAATATGTTCATTTTGACACCATGGCAGTGTCAATTTTCAAATTGACACCGGAAAATGTCGTGGACTTATTTTTACTCCAAACATGTTTAATTAAAAACATGCGCAGAGAAAATGCGGAATTTTCCAGTTGAATCGCTCAGAAACTAATCGAATTTTCTAGCGAATTCGTTACGTTTTTCTGTGAAATATTCTCGTGCTTGTGTTCTTTCTTCTTTTTAGGAAGATCTGAATGAATTCGATTACATCCATGTATCACGAGTTTGTATCTCTCGAAATATTAAGAGACGCTGAGCAAAAGTCACCCATGTCTACATGAAGTAAGTTAATTATTCCGAAATTATGAAAAAGATGACATTTCCGCAGGTGTTCCTAGCTGAATACATTCCAAGCAATGAACCCGAGCAGAGTAACCCCCTGGCTTGTAAAATTGTGGACACGTCGAAGGCACCCAAGGATTTTATTAAAAAATTTCTTCCCCGAGAGTTAGATATTTTAGCGAAATTGAACCATCCCCACGTGGTCTATGTAAACAACATTTTTCAAAGACGATGTAGGTACTTCATCTCCATGAGGTTCGCGGAGAACGGCGATCTTCTTGATTTCACGTTGAAGAATTAAGCTGTGGATGAAGGTCAAGCACGAGTTTGGTTTAGGCAATTGTCTTTAGGTATTTCTAATAACTAATTTTAAAAACTTGAAAAGCTGGAAAATTTAATAGAAAAACTTGGCGAATTCGCGAGAAAATTCTGTTGGATTTCTAGTTCGGTTCGACAATTATCTTTAAGTATTTTTAATAACTAATTTCCCAAAAAAATAGTGATTTTTTTTTGTCAATTGAGAATAATAGAGTGGAACAATGCATCCATGAACTGATCTATCTCAAGTAAATCAGAATCGGATGAAGAATGGAACTTGAGTGACTGAAAAACTTAATAGAAAAACCTAGCGAATTCGTCAGACAATTCTATTGGATTTCTATTGAACTTCCTATTAGTTTTTGGCCGATTCTATTGGAACATTCAATAGAAAAAGTCAATAGAATTTGATTTTTCTGTAGAACTGATTCTACTGAAATATTTTCCATAGGATTTCTTCGGCTTAATTTTTTCCAGTTTGTTTGTTTGATTTTCTTGATGAGAAGAAAGGAAAAATAGAATGAAAAAAAAGGAGAAAATTTGAGCCGAGGAAATTTTGTAGAAAATATCCGAAGAGAATAAGTTACATAGAAAAATCGAAATCTAGATGATTTTTTCCATTGAACATTTTAATAGAATTGGCCAAAAACTTATCACTAATAGACTGTTCAATAGAAATCCAATCAAATTTTCTAACAAATTCGTTGGGTTTTTCTATTGAATTTTTTCGTGCGTGAAATCACCCTCACGTTCATTAAATTTTCCTGGATCAACGGAGAAAAAATTCACTGTTCGTCTGGCACTTTCTCCCCCAGATACTGTGAAAAAGTACTCAAAATCGAGTTCAGTTCATAATTACTTGATTTGTTCGGTAATTTTTTTTCCACTTTCTTCTCCGTGTAATAGAATTTCCAATAGAAGTCCAATAGAATTTTATAGCGCATCCGGCTGTTTCTATAAAATCTTCGCGGGTGGGAATCATCTCTCATAGGGCGGCATGTCACTCTTATCTAGCCTCTCTTGGTATTAATAAAGATTTATTTGATCCTCTAGCCAGAAAAAATATTTCTTTTCTCCTTTTTTTGTGTCATCCGATAAAATACACACGATTTCTGAATTTCCATTGCATAAACTGAAGGCCTGCAGTACCTCCACGAAATGGAAATAGTCCACCGCGACATAAAATGTGAAAATGTTTTCCTGACAGCCAATAATAACGTGAAATTAACGGATTTTGGTTTCGCACGTTATATAATCGACTCAAGAGGTAAAAAAGTCTTGAGCGATACATTCTGCGGTTCCCTGATATACGCTGCGCCGGAAATTCTGCGAGGAGCTCCATACAATCCAAAAGCGGCAGATATGTGGTCCCTCATAATTCTCAATAAAGCCATGCCATTCGATGAGCCGAATCTTAAAAAATTATTCGAAATTCAGACCAATCGCAGGTGGAAGTTCCGGAAGAAAGTGGCTGACAGTTTCAGTGAGCAAGTGAAAAAGTTGGTGACAAATCTTTTGGAGCCAGAAGTTACGAAGCGTCGGACTGCGGATCAGATTATTCACGACAGCTGGATTGCCATGGATCCGAGATTAGTCGTCATCACACCTGCGGAACAAGCAGCTCTCAATAATCCTTGCTAATGCATGCTAATGTTTATTTAAAAAACAGAATATTGTATTATATTTTGAATTAATACTTTGAACATTTCATAGTTGCATAGAGACGATCAGTATCCACAAAAAAAGAGTCGATAGGTGAAGGCTCGAAGGTTGAAGAAGTCACCGTGCTCAGGGATTATAGAAAAACAGTGATATTCGCACATTTACGGGAAAGTCAATCAGTGACTTTGTGTTCGATTTATTTGATTTGGATTTTTTTACTTCGCAGACTCTGAGTGCTTCCGCTATCGATAATAGAAGTCTTCCGCGAACTTCCGACATGAATCACCTGGGGAGTATTATCGGATAGTTGTAATGATTGATAGTATAAGGTTTTGGAAAGAGAAAATATGAAAAAATAAGAGGGAATTATGAAAGAATGTCATGAAGATTGGGATTTTATGAAGCGATATTCTGGGGCTCTGGACAATGCTATTGAGGATCGAAAGAAGAATAAAGAGAAGTTCAGAAGACAATCGGTGGATTATAAACTCTCGTATTTATTCATTCGGAATGCACATTATATTACATTGTGAATTAATACTTTCAATCGCTCATAGTTGTATAGAAATGGTAGGTGAAGGCTTGAAGGTTGAAGACGTCACCACGCTCAGAGATTCTGAAAAAAAAAAGTAATATTTACATGCACGGAGAGAAATGTTCAGTAAAAATTACGGAACTCACAATTCGCTCACCGATTACGGAATTGACTCAGAAAATTTAAGTGATGGTATCGTAATTTTTCACAGGAGATTCAGGTAAAAATTACGGAACGCTTTGGAAAAATTTCGTCAGAATTCCGTAAAATTTCCTAGAACCACATTTCGCTCCGGGATTACGGAAAAGATACGTAATTTTTATTGAATATTTCTCTCCGTGTATTCATTAAGGAGTCAATTCTAATACTATTTTTAATTCCTTCGGGATGACTATTTATTTTGCTTCGCAGACTCACTGTTAGAAAATTACTCTTGAAATTTCAAGTAAAAAAGCTTGAAATTTTTAACAATGACAAAGTTCCATGAAATTTCTGTAGAATTCTTCATTGACGAATAAGTTAATTCCTTGAATATCCAAGTAATTCTCAATTTTCAGGTCCATACAGTACTAAAAAACCATGAAAATTTTGAAAATTCAGGCAATAACTTCTCTGAATTTTCAAACTATTGAAAATTCAAGCTTTCATTGGAAAATCAATGATTCTTTAACATGAAAAACCCAATTTTCTTGAATTTTTAAGATGAATGAGAAATGTAGTGAAGGTTTTCATTTCAAATTTAATTCAAACTTACAACATTGAAAATTCAGATGACATTGTGACTGAAATTTCAAAAAATTTCTAACAGTGCTTGGAGTTCTTCCGAGTTCGTAGTTCATCTGTTTGCGGGAGATTCAGCGGATAGTTGAAATGATTTCACGAGATGTATGGTCAGAACATCGGTTTTTCTACTAGTTTTGGAAATAGCAATTATGAAGAATTAGAAGGAACATTATGAAAAAATTATGTGGTGTTTGAAAATGAAAAATCATGAGGAATTCTTTAATTTCCCTTTCAATATTTTCACGGTCAGAATATATGCACCTACACTGTTAAAAAAGTTTGTAAAATTATTATACTTTTGCTGCATCAAAGTGTGGTAAAATTACAAATTCGATGGTAGAATCGGTATTTACTATATTTTTGTATGAATATTGCAGTCAATATGTGGAATTTTACTACAATATATAGTGAAATTACTACAGGGGATTGTAAAATTATTATTCTCGTGTATGAATTTATTTGTATTTGAATTTTCGAATACAATTACCGGGAAAATTGTACTTTTCCAATATTTTTGCAAGACACACGTGTATTAAAATTACAATTTGTCCTTCAAATTTACAACAATAATTTAAGCGTTCCTTCAGAACTGAAAATTTCAAGTACAAACGGGAAAATTATTATACTTTTTCGAAAATTTTAGGATACTATCTTTTAATTTTATAATTTTTATTGCTTCTCAACATCTTTTGAAATTTAATTTTTAACCAACAAATAATAGAATTTCAGTCAATTTTTGAAATCTCAAACAATAGACTTTGGCTAGGCGNTTCCAAGCAATGAACCCGAGCAGAGTAACCCCCTGGCTTGTAAAATTGTGGACACGTCGAAGGCACCCAAGGATTTTATTAAAAAATTTCTTCCCCGAGAGTTAGATATTTTAGCGAAATTGAACCATCCCCACGTGGTCTATGTAAACAACATTTTTCAAAGACGATGTAGGTACTTCATCTCCATGAGGTTCGCGGAGAACGGCGATCTTCTTGATTTCACGTTGAAGAATTAAGCTGTGGATGAAGGTCAAGCACGAGTTTGGTTTAGGCAATTGTCTTTAGGTATTTCTAATAACTAATTTTAAAAACTTGAAAAGCTGGAAAATTTAATAGAAAAACTTGGCGAATTCGCGAGAAAATTCTGTTGGATTTCTAGTTCGGTTCGACAATTATCTTTAAGTATTTTTAATAACTAATTTCCCAAAAAAATAGTGATTTTTTTTTGTCAATTGAGAATAATAGAGTGGAACAATGCATCCATGAACTGATCTATCTCAAGTAAATCAGAATCGGATGAAGAATGGAACTTGAGTGACTGAAAAACTTAATAGAAAAACCTAGCGAATTCGTCAGACAATTCTATTGGATTTCTATTGAACTTCCTATTAGTTTTTGGCCGATTCTATTGGAACATTCAATAGAAAAAGTCAATAGAATTTGATTTTTCTGTAGAACTGATTCTACTGAAATATTTTCCATAGGATTTCTTCGGCTTAATTTTTTCCAGTTTGTTTGTTTGATTTTCTTGATGAGAAGAAAGGAAAAATAGAATGAAAAAAAAGGAGAAAATTTGAGCCGAGGAAATTTTGTAGAAAATATCCGAAGAGAATAAGTTACATAGAAAAATCGAAATCTAGATGATTTTTTCCATTGAACATTTTAATAGAATTGGCCAAAAACTTATCACTAATAGACTGTTCAATAGAAATCCAATCAAATTTTCTAACAAATTCGTTGGGTTTTTCTATTGAATTTTTTCGTGCGTGAAATCACCCTCACGTTCATTAAATTTTCCTGGATCAACGGAGAAAAAATTCACTGTTCGTCTGGCACTTTCTCCCCCAGATACTGTGAAAAAGTACTCAAAATCGAGTTCAGTTCATAATTACTTGATTTGTTCGGTAATTTTTTTTCCACTTTCTTCTCCGTGTAATAGAATTTCCAATAGAAGTCCAATAGAATTTTATAGCGCATCCGGCTGTTTCTATAAAATCTTCGCGGGTGGGAATCATCTCTCATAGGGCGGCATGTCACTCTTATCTAGCCTCTCTTGGTATTAATAAAGATTTATTTGATCCTCTAGCCAGAAAAAATATTTCTTTTCTCCTTTTTTTGTGTCATCCGATAAAATACACACGATTTCTGAATTTCCATTGCATAAACTGAAGGCCTGCAGTACCTCCACGAAATGGAAATAGTCCACCGCGACATAAAATGTGAAAATGTTTTCCTGACAGCCAATAATAACGTGAAATTAACGGATTTTGGTTTCGCACGTTATATAATCGACTCAAGAGGTAAAAAAGTCTTGAGCGATACATTCTGCGGTTCCCTGATATACGCTGCGCCGGAAATTCTGCGAGGAGCTCCATACAATCCAAAAGCGGCAGATATGTGGTCCCTCATAATTCTCAATAAAGCCATGCCATTCGATGAGCCGAATCTTAAAAAATTATTCGAAATTCAGACCAATCGCAGGTGGAAGTTCCGGAAGAAAGTGGCTGACAGTTTCAGTGAGCAAGTGAAAANAATTGTAACAGCCTCGGTCTAACATTTCAGCGATGATCATAATCCACTTCGAAGTAAAAATTTATTGTTTCATTCTATTGTTGCAACATTTACGGGACGTTACCAGTGCATTCTACGGAATAAATATATGATGAATACTCCAGTTACAGTGACTATTGCTTGACGATTGCTTTTCTTTAATCCAAAAAATGTCGGCTTTCCCGGAATTATGGTAAGTCTAATTTTTTTTCTCATTATATATGATCCACGGAATTCAAATCCGTACTGATTGAAGAATTTCGAATTTTGGGAACTTCTGGTTAATTGCTTTCNTTGAAGAAGTCACCGTGCTCAGGGATTATAGATAAAAGTGATATTCGCACATTTATGGGAAAGTCAATCAGTGACTTTGTGTTCGATTTATTTGATTTGGATTTTTTTACTTCGCAGAATCTGAGTGCTTCCGCTATCGATAATAGAAGTCTTCCGCGAACTTCCGACATGAATCACCTGGGGAGTATTATCGGATAGTTGTAATGATTGATAGTATAAGGTTTTGGAAAGAGAAAATATGAAAAAATGAGAGGGAATTATGAAAGAATGTCATGAAGACTGGGATTTTATGAAGAGATATTCTGGGGCTCTGGACAATGCTATTGAGAAATTCAGAAGACAATCGGTGGATTATAAACTCTCGTATTTATTCATTCGGGATGCACATTATATTACATTTTGAATTAATACTTTCAATCGCTCATAGTTGTATAGAAATGGTAGGTGAAGGCTTGAAGGTTGAAGACGTCACCACGCTCAGAGATTCTGGAAAAAAGTCATATTTACATGCACGGAGAGAAATGTTCAGTAAAAATTACGGAACTCACAATTCGTTCACCAATTACGGAATTGACTCAGAAAATTTAAGTGACGGTATCGTAATTTTTCACAGAAGATTCAGGTAAAAATTACGGAACGCTTTGGAAAAATTCCGTGAGAATTCCGTAAAATTTCCTACAATCACATTTCGCTCCGGGATTACGGAAAAGATACGTAATTTTTATTGAATGTTTCTCTCCGTGTATTCATTAAGGAGTCAATTCTAATACTATTTTTAATTCCTTCGGGTTGACTATTTATTTTGCTTCGCAGACTCACTGTTAGAAAATTACTCTTGAAATTTCAAGTAAAAAAGCTTGAAATTTTTAACAATGACAAAGTTCCATGAAATTTCTCTAGAATTCTTCATAATTCGTAATTCTCAATTTTCAGGTCCATACGGTACTGAAAAACCATGAAAATTTTGAAAATCCAGGCAACAACTTTTCTGAATTTTCGAATTATGGAAAATTCAAGCTTTCATTGAAAAATCAATGATTCTTTAAAATGAAAAACCCAATTTTCTTGAATTTTCAAGATGAATGAGAAATGTAGTGAAGGTTTTCATTTGAAATTTAATTCAAACTCACAACATTGAAAATTCAGATGACATTGTGACTGAAATTTCAAAAAATTTCTAACAGTGCTTGGAGTTCTTCCGAGTTCATAGTTCATCTGTTTGCGGGAGATTCAGCGGATAGTTGAAATGATTTCACGAGATGTATGGTCAGAACATCGGTTTTTCTACTAGTTTTGGAAATAGCAATTATGAAGAATTAGAAGGAACATTATGAAAAAATTATGTGGTGTTTGAAAATGAAAAATCATGAGGAATTCTTTAATTTCCCTTTCAATATTTTCACGGTCAGAATATATGCACCTACACTGTTAAAAAAGTTTGTAAAATTATTATACTTTTGCTGCATCAAAGTGTGGTAAAATTACAAATTCGATGGTAGAATCGGTATTTACTATATTTTTGTATGAATATTGCAGTCAATATGTGGAATTTTACTACAATATATAGTGAAATTACTACAGGGGATTGTAAAATTATTATTCTCGTGTATGAATTTATTTGTATTTGAATTTTCGAATACAATTACCGGGAAAATTGTACTTTTCCAATATTTTTGCAAGACACACGTGTATTAAAATTACAATTTGTCCTTCAAATTTACAACAATAATTTAAGCGTTCCTTCAGAACAGAAAATTTCAAGTACAAACGGGAAAATTATTATACTTTTTCGAAAATTTTAGGATACTATCTTTTAATTTTATAATTTTTATTGCTTCTCAACATCTTTTGAAATTTAATTTTTAACCAACAAATAATAGAATTTCAGTCAATTTTTGAAATCTCAAACAATAGACTTTGGCTAGGCGTAAACGAAATCATAAATTATACTAAATAGTTGGGAGAAACGTTAAAATAAAACGTAGAAATAAAATTTTGGACAATAGTCCTCTTTTTTCTTATAGTTTTCACGTGAGGAAAATTCCCCATTTTTTGCTACCCGGTTACGGCATCTCCAGACAGAGTCCTGGTGGTCACCACATGTGCGCGTAACGAGACCGCGTCATCCTCCGGTCCGCTTTCCTTTTTTTTGTACATAGACTTTTCCGTATGCCTTTTCTTGGCCAATTGCAGTCTGGGGAAAATACTTTCCAACCAATACAATTTTAGAAATTCCTTCCAACCCTGAATTGCAAGGCCCATATACCACCTCATGAAAATCTTAAACTTTAGTCTTCTCCGAACAGTTCACAGATTCGTCTCGTAAACTTGGTGATAAAATTTTCTTATAAATGAAAAAGATCTTTAAATTCATTAAGAGAACGTTTTTCTTTCAATCTCGAAAATTTCAACGAAAATGCTTTTGAAACCCCAATTTTATGAAACTGCCGATCTTTTCTTCTAATACGTTATTACCACAGTGAACAGTTCATTATTATAGAGTGACTTATTATGGATTTTTGTGAGTGATATTATTGGGAAGCTGAGAATTATACTGGACGCTGTAGCGGAACAACGCAGGTAAATAAAAATTTCCTCCATCATTCGGGTAAAAAAGATAACAATGAGTTCTGAAGTAGAGTTTTTAGACATCCCGCAAGTAGATTCCTTTCAATTCCCTTTAATTTTTCTCAAGTTTGACATATTTTAGGATTTTTCATTTCTTTGTTCATTCGGTTTTTCCAGAAGAGAATGTTGTTCAGCTCGAGAAACAATAAAGCCTGAAAACATACATAATTTTTTTTTCTCCGAATATTTTGCTTTATTTCAAACATAATTTTGCCACGGTTTCAGTTCTATTATCGACAATTTGGAAGGCTAGAATTCGATTTTTTCTTAAAAATTATTTTTCCGTTGAAGACAAAAAAAAACCATAGGTACAGTCCAACCTCTACGCGAGATACGCCAGAGACTGTAGAATTCCCAGAACTTGTCTTTTATTTCGCCACTACTCTGTCGAGAGGAAAGGGGGGACAATATTGTAGCCCAAGTGGATCTTTTCATCATGAAAAAAAGACTGCTTTTGTTGTAATCTTGTAGTGATTCCCAGTCCGAATACATCATAGGTGCCGGGAGTCATAGAAATTCATTTAGCCGAAGAAAAAAAAATTGATTTGTTCTGAGGTATTGATATCCTGTACTCACCGGCGATATATACAGTCCTTAATTAGTCATCACACTCTTATATGGTTCCCGCGTAGTGTATAACGTATGAAATACAATGAGACACCCTGTACAGAGTCCGTGAATGTAACTATCGCAGCTTCATCTAATGTAGAGATTGGACTGTTAGTACACCGAATTAATAAACATTGAAATCTATATTTGTTTCCTTTAGGCATCATAATGTTCCAGTGCAGGTTCTGCGATTACTCGACAAATAAATTCCGGGACTTTTCAAGCCACAGAAAATTACATGCAAGTTTGAATGGCAATTTCTTCTGTGGATATAATCGAAATTCCATTGATATCAGTCATATTTCGACTCATCGTTCTTCATTTTCAAGAAAAAGAAGATGAGTTATTTCGATTTGAAGAAGTGAGTATGACCAGAGTGCTTCATATAGAATAATTGTCCTTGATTAATTGGCCTGTATTAACTCATTTATAAATTCGTTTTTTCAGGAGAACTTGACGGATGAACAACTCCTGGAAAACATTCCGAACCTCACTCCTGTTCTTGTCATAAAAGGTAAACATAATGTCGTTGTGAACCAGATTTGCGATCCATAATGACATCCCAGGCAATAATATGCTATTTCTCATTCTCAGGGCGATCACTTTATGACGAGACTGCAACACACGCAGTGGCACTGGACAAGAAAATCTTGATCCCAGTGAACGGAGTTCTTGATGGAATTTTATTGCTGTTCTCCCTTTACTACGTTTTCAGAGTTCTGTACCCAGACACACTCTCCCGTACTTTGGAATTCATTCAGAGGTATTTTTTCAAAGAAATATATGTAGATACGAATCATATTTAGAGAAATAATAATTCATAATTGTTGAGTCATTCGGAAATTCCTGATTCATCTTGTCGTTATTGCCAAAATGCTTATTTCACAATATAAAATATGAAATTCTGCATTCCAGATGTTTGCTCAGAATGAATCCCAAAACTGGACACAAGAGAGCATCAAAAAAACAGAAGGCAACGCCTTTTGACCTGAAAGTCAAGAAATTCATCGATGGACTCCAGCAATATATAGAACATCCCTAAAAGCATGAAGCTCACCATATCAGCATATTTTGAACGGAGGAAATTAAAATGGGAAATCAATGAATTATGCTGAAAAAATTCTTGCTAGATCTTTGCTAGGGATAGTTTGAGTGCCATTATTATTTCGACTAATTTCAGTCAGATTCATGATGAATTTATGTGCAATTTCCATTTAACAAAAATAATTATGAAACATTATGAAATAATTTAATGACTTTTCCGAATATTAATGGATTGATTTTACTTTCTCAATACTTTTTCTTAATAAATTTATTGGTGTTGATCGTGAGAATTGTAATGTTTTGTTCATTATTCATATTTGAAAATTATAAAAAAAAAAATCCCAATACCTACATGAGAATATCCGAATATAACTGTATGATTTTTACCATACAATTTTAAATAAAAATTATTGCACTCAAGTAGTAAAATAGTAATTTCGGTATGAGAAAATTCCTACAGTCCCATGTAGCAAAATTCTGATAATCTCATTTAAGTAAGTTGGAAAATTACCACAGGTAAATGTAGTAAATTTACAACACGAATGGAATAGAATTGCTCTTCTTATGTAGTAATTTTACAATATTCGTGTATGCGAGTATTCCTTTTTTTTCCTAGAAAATTCTCATATGATAACTGTAAAAAAAGTGTTGTAATTTTACCACACTATGTGTGAATAAAACTTCCAACATTTTTGTTAGAATTTCGGGTCAAATTTTTTTAACAGTGTATAAAATTGTAACAGCCTCGGTCTAACATTTCAGCGATGATCATAATCCACTTCGAAGTAAAAATTTATTGTTTCATTCTATTGTTGCAACATTTACGGGACGTTACCAGTGCATTCTACGGAATAAATATATGATGAATACTCCAGTTACAGTGACTATTGCTTGACGATTGCTTTTCTTTAATCCAAAAAATGTCGGCTTTCCCGGAATTATGGTAAGTCTAATTTTTTTTCTCATTATATATGATCCACGGAATTCAAATCCGTACTGATTGAAGAATGTCGAATTTTGGGAACTTCTGGTTAATTGCTTTCAGGATAATATTCGCAGTCTTAGCTGTAGCTTTGCCATTGCATGGGGAATCTGAGCTCATGAAACCACATGTCTGTCTCACAGAGGAATGTCAAGAGATAGCGCAGATGTATGCCGAAACAATGAATGAAACCGTCGACCCATGTGAAAACTTCTACAAGTACAGTTGTGATGGTTGGGCCAGCAAAAACCCAATTCCAGACTATGCAGTTTTCTGGAATCGTCCCAGTTCCATGCGTCTCGCGCACGAGAAACGTCTGAAAAGTACTAAGACTCTTCTATTCTACTTTATCTTCTTTGTTCACTGAATGTGTGAATGAATGAATAAGAGAAAAAAAAGTAGCGGAATTAGCAAAGACCTTTAGAATCGAATTCCATCGAATTCTCTACGTTTTTCTATGAATCTTTTTTTTTTGCGTGCAGGTATGCTGGAGAGCTCGCCGGAAGTCACTGATATTCTTCCGATTCAGCAAGCGAAGAAGTTCTATCAGTCATGTGTGGACATCGGTCAGTATTCGAAAATTGTAAACTCTACTTACACTTAAGGATTTCCTACTATTTATTTAAGTTTAAGGATATCCAACTACTTTGATTATTTTTTCTCCAGTGAAATGTTTTTTTACTTTTGTAGTCGAACATCAGAGCTTTCATTTGTGCCCCATATGACTCCAAGTTTTCGGACATTTTACAATGATTTTATTATTTAGGCTGTGCAGGTCTGAATTTGAATCTCGACATTGAACCGTAAACAATCAATTAACAATCATAAGGAATCAATTTTCCACCGTAACAATTATTTGTTCAGAATCGTACCAAATTTATTCATATTCAGAATTTTACCAGAAATCGATTTTAGGCCTAAAAAAATACGGTTTTCGAAAGTTTAAACAATTTCAATTATTTATTTATAAACAATGAATCTTTAAAAAATAATGATTCTGTGCAAAATGTAATTTGAACGATGCTGCATATTCATGATTTTTTTCAAATTTATCTCATACAATTCAATTAACAAATTTAATGATTGAAAATGGTTGGATGTATAGTAGGCAGGCTCAAAAAACATTTGGTCCGAATTTCAATTGGCAAGTTTATAGAAACGAGAGCTCATTAGTTCAAATGACTGTGTGATTTTTTTCCGATTTTTAGCAACATTTCTAGTGCTTCCGCAAACGATTTGAAAATATACAAAAATATCTGACCCACTGGCAGTTCGTCATTATGGACGTTAGTGAAAAGTCAAATGATCTTATGGCGATCCCTTGTCAGGTNTAGTGTGATCTGTACCAAACTGTAAAAGATGCTTGGATATCCTTAAGGTATATCCCTAGAAAACGTGTTTTTCTTAAAATTGTCCCCATGTTTTTCATAGATAATGTTTCAAATAGTCCGCAGTTATTGAAAAAATGCTAACTAGCTGTACTACACAGTTTAGGAGATGATAAATAATAATGCGGACTCCTAGCGTGCGAGGCCTAGGCCAAACGGCGGTTATGTGTCCCCCCGAACTCGATTTTTCCGTTTTATGAGAAAAAAATTCCTACCATGTTCTTGAAAAACTAATCCGTGATAGATCGATAAATTCTGAATACGCTGAATTTTTTGTAAAATTTTGTACTACATAGTTTCTGCAATATTTAACTGTAAAAAATGTAAATTTCGTGAAAGCATTCCTTATTTGATTCCAAAAATTAATTAACAAATAATTTCTTACTTGATTCAAACAGTTATTGTTGCCTGCATCAACAACATATGAGAATAGAAAAACTCAATAGCTTATGAGAATGCAGCAAGTTAAATTATTTAGAAGTTTTTCCGGAATTCCAAAGGGACTAACTTTTGGGTCCGATTGTCTTGGGATATATCTTAAGGGGAAACGGAACCCCTATGTCTGTATGAGCTTTTTGCATTGTGTTTTTTCATACAATTATTAACTATACATACAATACTATTATTCATTATATATGAAACGACTTTATCCACTCGATCATTGCTTTATTGAGTCAATGAAGTAGTTTCATAAATAAAAAATACTAATTGCCGGAGAACACACAATTCTAAAAGTTCCTATAAACACAGGGATTCCACCTTAAGGGGTTTCACCTTAAGGGAAAGATTCTTTTTAACCCTAGACTGGTCACCATGCGAGGGAATTGAAGCAACACATCGTGTTATTCACCTTTCCATCGACTGGTTCACCGGAAAAATTTGATAAAAATTGAATTCGTCAATTGAAGTATCTGGAAAATTCTAGTATTTTTTTTTCAATATTGTATCCTTAATTCTGGGAGAAAAAAAAATAATTTCCAACAGGTGAACAATTTTTTCCCGTGTTAAATGAAATTGCCTGTTGGGCGACGTTGCTGGGAACTCGCTAAACGCGCCTGGAAAGTGTAGAGTGGATTCGGCAACGCTGGAGCCTAAATAACACGGCGGCACTCTCCCGCGAAGGTGACTAAAGTCGCATTTTCCCGCCAGGTGACCAGACTACACTGATAGAACGGATTAGTTATTGTTAACGAATGGATTTTGGTTGGAGGTTAGGGTCTATTCGGTCTCACCAAATGTTCATTCGTTAATAGTTAACGAATGTATATTTGAGAAACCTTGTTTGACTCGACTTACGCCATTCAAGTGAACCATTTGTTAACTATTAACGAATATTCATTTGGTCATATTCAACTCTACCATTCGTTAATAGTTAACGAATCTCGTTTGGAATAAATGAATCATTCTATCAGTGTAGGGTTAAGGGCAGACTACTATGAGTTTTAAAAGTCGTGGATTATTGGAGTGAGACTTCATACATTGAAGATCGATTATATAGATCTGAAAACGAATAATTAGTGCAAAAAAAAATATTTTTATTGTTCGTTTACCCGACAACGCTTAAAATGCCAAAAACAGTCCAGGGCCTCCAATTTTTGAGCTACAAAGGATTTTGTTTTTTCAAAACTTTCGGAAAAATATGTGAGATAACAATTACGACCTAGTTTTTTTTTAATTTGCCTCTTACATGGCTAAATTTGCTTTTTTTGTATTTTTTTACACAAATAGTGAATTTTTTATATAAAAAAAACGAAATCAGCTGTGTAGGAGTCGAATTCCAAAAACTGGCTCGTAATTGTTGTTCCACACATTTTTTCAAAAATTTTGAAAAAAATTCTTTTATAGCTCAAAAATTGGAGGCCCCGGATTATTTTTAGCATTTTAAGCGTTCTCGAGAAAACGAACAATAAAAAAATTTTTTTTTTGCGCTAATTATTCCTTTTCAGATCTATATAATCGATCTTCAACGTATGAAAAGTCTCACTCCAATAACCCACGACTTTTAAAACTCATAGTAGTCTCCCCTTAAGGGGTAACACAGAAGTCTTCCATTTCCTCGAAATTTTCAAACAAATTTCATGCTCAAAGTTATTAATATTTTTAACATTCAAAGCGCATAGACCTTCATCATCACCTCCTGGTGATTAATGTGTTTTTATTTGTAAAAATATCGATAACTTTGAACAGAAAATTTGTTCAAAAACTTCGAAAATTAACGGCATGCTGCTACCCCTTAAACCTAGATTGGTCACCATGCGAGGGGATTGCCGCAACGTGTCGTTTTTTTCGTCTTGTCACCGGCTGGTTGACTGGAGAAATCCAAAAAAAATTTGAATTCGTCAATTAAAGTATCTGGAAAATTTTTGTATTGTTTTTTTAATATTACATCCCAAATTCTGGATGAAAAAAAATTATTTCCAACAGTTGAACAATTTTTTCCCATGTTAAATGAAATTGCCCGTTGCGCGACGTTGCTGGAAACTCGTTAAACGCGCTCGGGCAGTGTAGAGTGAATTCGGCAACGCTGGAGCCTAAATAACACGGCGGCAAATCCCCGCGGAGGTTACCAGAGTCGCAAGTTTCCGTCAGGTGACCAACTAGGGTTAAACGAATATACTTTCGCTTCGTTCATTGTAGCTGCTCGTAATGCAAGTATAGTCAATACAATCGCATCATTTCTTGAGAGCAATGGTGGCTGGCCAATGGCCATGAATTTTGATGACTGGAAGGAAGATGACCGTTCATGGCAAGAAGTCGATGCCAATTTCGCAAATTTGACAACTTATTGCGCATTCTACACTTTTATCGCCACAGGAATGCGATCGGTGAGTTTATGAAAAGAATCGTAGATTGATTAACGTAATCATCAAACTTCTAGCTGCGCATGCTTCCCCCCATGGATAATGAGATTCTCAATAATTCCAAAATTTTATATCTTGTCGACTTAATCATTCGTCATAATCACGCCAACGTTTCTGCGGCGCAACTAAAAAGTGATATCGACGATCTATTTATTCTTGACCAGAAATTGCGAGAGGTAATGAATTTAAATCGTTATCACGTCTCTTTCAATTTTCCCTAGGCCTTCAGGTAACTGAAGGTGACAAATTTATCTCGGGCCTTTTTAGTGGATAAGATGATTTTTAGGCAAGACAGAATGGAAGCCAGTCGGAGTTGCAGTTGCAGACTCTTACAACATTTATTCTCGAATGGCAAAAGGAAATTCAATCAGAACCTGATCCAAAAACTGTGGTAGAATATTAAATCCTACTGAAACTTTTCTAGAAATGAATGAAGGAGGGAATCCGCATGATTTTCCCTTCTTTTTTTCATTTGACGTCTGGGACCTCAAATAGTTGATTTTTCATCCAAAAACTTTTTATATGAATCCTCATGACATGATCTTCCTAGTGCATAATTATTGGTCAGATGACGCAATTTTTTTTAATTTCTCCCGTTTTGCAAGCAATATGTTATAATGAATTCGTGCGCAAAGAAATTCGAAAGGACTGCTCCCTGTGTCATATATCCCGTGAGGACATGACAAGATCACAAATCATTTGAATTCGCATGTACAGTTTCTTTTCGAGGGAAACACCGCAGCGCGTTGTTTTTCTTAAATTACAATTGCCTGGCTAACCGGAAAAATTGAAAATAATTCGACTTCTTCAATTGAAGTATCTAATAAATTATAACAGCTTTTAGGAAAACAATTCCCGAAATTCAGATGGAAAACAAAATATTTCCAATAGATGAATTATTTTTTCTCACGTTAAGGATATCTCAGTACAGTAGAGGCTTCGTATGAGTTACCTTAGAGACAGTAGGAGAGTGGAAACCCGGGAACCCCTGTGCCCCCATTATGCGCGCCCATAGAGAGGAGAAGAATAGGGATCGACGGGTTTCAAATAAGATACCTCGCTCGTTGTGCCCGAATTCAATGAAATTTTCATTTTTACTGAATGAAAATCGATAACTAATCAATTTATATGTGTTTAATGTTTTAAATTTGTATCGCTCGCCTTCCCCTTTCTCTCAACATAACCCCGCGTGATAGAAGGGCAGCTGATGTTGGTGGACTCGAGAAGAATCGCAAACGAAAAATTACGATTTTTCGATGGAAAAAATGGAAAAAAAATCGATGTATATTTCCATTACTTGAAAAAAGTGGTGTGACCCCCCTTAAGATCATTGGACCCTCCTCACTTTGTTCATCCCTCCCATTTGATCCTTAACCCTTCTGTAGTCGCACGCCTTCGCCGCACGTCGTTGGTCGCGTTGTAAGCGCTGCGCCGTCCGCACATTTTCCAGCGCACTGTTGCCAGAACCACACGACACTATAAACATATCACTGGCCAGCGACTCCCCCCTCCGCATACGTTGCTTGGGACTATCACAAGGGTCGGCAACACCGCTAGCCGCTAACCGCACTTGACAAAAAAATTAATTGAAAAAAAATTGTCAGTGCAAGGCTACCGTGTTTAATTTCATCAGGATATATCATTTGAGGAACTCGTAAATACGCAAAGCGTAATTCATCACATTTTTAGAGATATCGTGAAAATAACTTAAACGGCGGCGTTCCGACCACAGCGCGACCACTGAAGGGTTAACACCGTTTGATCCTTATAACTACTCTCTCCCCGTTGAAAAATGACCGGGGCCATAAGTATCTTATAAGAAGCCCACGGAATATAAACATGTGGGTATATTTTTAAAAGATAAAACAGCTGAATAATTCTAAACACTTTAATCGAAATAGTTTATCTACAATTGTTATTAAAAAAAAACACTTTAAGAAAAACGGCTAAATCGTCTAATGCCTCTGACGAGGACTTCGTCTTCTTCTACGTCTTCGACTTCGATGTTCGTCTAATAGTTCCCGACAATGAACTGCACTCCTCGTTGTACCCTCATCCCTTAAATGTACACCTTCGTTCCTCCTAGCGTTCCCCCACTACCACGCAATTTCTGGGCCTCACTCGCCATTTCCATATTTGGAAGTTTTCCCGAAACGTGGCAGCGTACGTCAGCTAGGGGTCGTGCATCATCGATGAGGACGCTACAGCGTTATCGTAATAAAACAATAAAACTCTACGTCTAGACTTAATCCTGGGTCTCGTCTTAATCCTACCTTAATAAAATATTTTCCTTAACGCCTGAAATACTTTACAATGTAACTACCATCGCGTAATTCCCCAACGTCTAGACTATTCATACCTAAACTGTACACCTAATTCCCCACAATTGAGACATTCTTAAAATTAGGAGTTTTCCGTTACTACAAACATTCGGAAGGCGATAAAAGTGCCGAGAGTAGGGGTAGACCTCGACCACCCGGAACGCGAGGTGTCTTATACGAAGCCTCTACTGCACTTCTCTCCACTAGGTAGAGATAGAAAGTCACAGTTCGAATGCAACTGGAGTAAAACACGGATTCTTTCACTAATTCAGTAATTCCGAAGCTCTGAGATTATCACTCGATACAGGTAAACTGGAAAGAAGTGATTCAACGTTGGGCCACTCGTGAAATACCCGGTAGTATACTGCTGGAAATCGATAGAAAATACTACTTTTCGTTGCCAGAAATATGGAGGAACACCACTAAACGAACAATTGGTAATCAATTATTCAATCTTCTCCCATCAATATCTGACAATATCCCACGGAGAGAAATATTCAATAAAATTACGTATCTTTTCCGTAATTCCGCTGCGAAATGTGGTTGTAGGAAATTTTACGGAACTGTCACTGAATTTTTCCGGAGCGTTCCATAATTTTTATCTGAATCTCCTGTGAAAAATTACGACATCGTCCCTTACATTTTCTGAGTCGATTCCGTAATCGGTGAGTGAATTGTGAGTTCCATAATTTTTTCCGAACATTTCTCTCCGTGTCGACTATACTCGTTGTAAAGAGTCTGGTAGATCCAGATATGAAGCATATCTACACTGATAGAAAAGGTGGAACGATTCAGTTGCACCAAACGAGTCTTCTTAGCTGTTCCCGTGATTCGTTAATAGTTAACGAATCGTGGTAATAGTTAAAAAGTCGCGTTTGGTTTGACTAAACCGTTCTATCAGTGTATAGGATCGTCCCACTATCATTATCGGAATCTTTCGTGGGATTTTTTGAGCCCTCAACCGGAAAATTTTGAGAAATTCGGATTTCTCGGAAAATTCTATGAGGCAAAAAATTCTGCAAGCACTTTGCGAGATGCCCAGGATTTTTATAGAATACTTTCCTATGGAAAATTTTTCTCGAAAGTTTTTCAATGTGAAACCTTAATTCCTGTAAATAAGGCGAATTTTGCAAATTAAGTCGATGATATTATTCTATGAGCAGTTTTCATACCTGATGTAGATGTAATAATAATCTTCTCATATTTTCTATAACAATATAATAGCGAAATTTGTTGCAGTAAATTACATCCACTGGCAATTTGTGAATCGCATTTTTGGTGAGGCCCCCAAAGAAACAGGTGATGAAGATTCTGAGTCGCATAAATTGCCCCGGTTAGTCCACAATGAGTATGAAAATTCAAGCTATCATTCAAGTATCAATAATCGCTTCACATGAGAAACTCAATTCTGTTGAATTTTCAAGGTGAATAAAAGAACTATTAATAATTTGATATTAAATTGCATTCAATTTCACAACGTTGAAATTTCAAATGCAACTGTTGCTAGAATTTCCAAAAAATTTCAACAGTGTAGGGTGTGATATTGTGGGGCCTCATAGGTGGTACTTATAACTCCATAAATTCTAATTGGCTGGTTTGTATGTACGCAACAGAAATGTCCGAGGCGCATACACATTGGTTTGTCGAACATTACTTCACGGAGACCGACCAAAAAGCAGTAAATATTATTCCGAGAAGATATCAATTTTCATTATCACCAGAAGTTCGATAATCCTGGTGCTTTCAGGTACCAGAAGTCGTGAAGTATATTAAAGAAGAGTTCATATATCAAATTGAAAAATCCAATTTGATGGGCAATTCTTCTAAATCGGCCCTAAAGAGGAAACTGGAAAAAATGGAAATTCTTATTGGCCGTCCAGATTGGATTCAAAATAGAACAGAAATTGAAAGTTACTATGAAAATGTATGTAGACAAGAAATCTATGACAACTTTAATAAAAAAAGTATGTGGAATTTAACTTCATTAATATATGTAGCTCAATATTGGTGATGACTATGTGACTAATCGTTTGAATGTTCGGAGATTTGCGAAGAAGTACGGCGACTTGGCCGCTGAACGCTCCGAATCGTTTAGGTAATGAAATCTTATGCGTTAGTGATATCTGGACGCACAAAAAATCATAGAAAAATTTAGCATATTCTCGGCACGATACTCTTTTGTTATCAAATTTTTTCGAAAATTGCACACTAGCTTCTGGAAATTGCATAGTAGTTTTTCATTTATTTCTAACCATTTGGGTGCTTTGCTGGAAGAAGCCCTCGAATACTGTGCTCCGCTTGGCCAAAATCCAGTCCCGAAAAATTCTCCGCCGAATACCCCTCGACCTTCAAATTTAATCGCAATATTTCCCTCAAGCTACCCTGTAAACAAACAAAAGTGTCAATTTTGCAGAAAAATAAATTTAAATGAAATAAAAATAAATTTTAGCCTGCAAAACTTGACACTTTCATTTGTTTCCAATGAAGCTATCGGGAAATATTCCGATAATTTTGAAGGTCTCGGGGTATTATAACTGAAAATTTTGCTACATTTTTATTGGAGATCTGTTGGAAATTCTATTCATTTTTCGTTGATTGTATTGAGAAATGAAATCCAGCTGACCTGCGAGCTTTCGCCAATGGAAAATTTTTTACAGTAAAAATGATAGGTTTCGATCGTCCATTTCTATAAAAAAAGTTGCAGAGCTTTCCAATAGAAGATCAAGTGAAATCCAATACACTGAGAAAAAAAAATAAAATAAAATATATAAAAAAAAATATTTTTGCCGAATATCCATTTACTTGGGAGAAGTATTTATTTTAAAATCATTAAATCATTCTGGGGGTTGAAAACAATCTAAATTATTCAATTGGAAAATGTTCGCGGGCACCCCCTCAACCCCCCAAAAAAGATTCGACTAATTCGAAGTAAGGCAAAGGGGTGACCGGGGGTGGAAACCAAAATTTTTAGATTTTTCTAGTAAAAAAAAAAATATGTTCATTCCAGGGGTTGGAACCTGCCTAAATTTTTCAATTCGAAAATGTTTACGGAAGATGTTTACGAAGGCCGAAAAAAAAACATGTTAGTTACGACCTTGAGTAAATTCTCTCAATAATTATGAAAATTTAAAAAAATTCTGAAAAATGAATGATCATTGCAGGATTTCTAGAGCAACATGATTGTCATCATTGAAACCTAATCAGGCTCGCCTGGGAATGACTAGATTGGAGAAACACGATTTTAAAAGAAGAAAAGCTTCTCTCAAGTAAATGAATAGATTTCTCTAGCGAATCAGCTAGCTGTTTTCTACGAAATGTTTTCGTATGTGTGAGAAAACGAACTTTCACTCTTATTGGAATCCTATCCTTTTTAGATGGCTCCTGGAGACACTGGATACGATAGCTGGGCACGGCCCTTATTGGAATGTTGTCAGGAAGTGCAGATACGGTGTAATATTTCCATACCAATTAATATGTCGATTAACGCGGCGAAACTTGTTTGATTCATAATCGTGGCGTCTCAAATATACTCCATTCTAGATATCCCAGCAGGAGCTTTTCACCTACCTTTTTTCAACTCAGAGGCACCTGAGTGAGTAGACAATACGTTAATTAATGAACAAAAAAAATGATTTTTCAATGCAGTGTTTCATTCCTGGCATAACATTTGTTTTTTTAAATGACAACACCACTCAAATCAAATAACTAATAATATTTTTCTACAGTTTCGTAAATTACGGAGCGTTAGGAAGCATTATCAGCCACGAGATAGGTCATGGCTTTGATGACCATGGTAGGTTCGAATAAATGATAATCCGCTTTTTGATCCATGGACAAAATTTCCGCTACAAACTTCTCCAAAAAACCGAAAACAATTTTCTCAGCGCCAATTGGATTATTGACATGTGATCTGCCGACAAGTTAGTCTTATTGCATTATATCCGTCCGTAAAATATTCGATATTCCACGTATTTCCAATTCGGATGGTAAATTGTAACTAGCGAGGTTTCCCGGTGCCCCTCTCTCTTTTCGATTCGAATCAAACTCACTATTTGACGACGTATCCCCATTTTTATTATCACCAGTAGCCGCATTACTTTACCCGAAATTTACTCTCCTCAGCATTGAGACCTGTGACCTATACACTCAGTACCATTGTTTATGAGCTCATGATGCCCAATTTGAACCCTTGAATGCTTGGAATTTTAAATTAGTATCATTCGTGATTATGTGTTAAATTGAATCTCAGTAAATGGTTGTAATGTATATTTATCAATTAATGGAAGTAGCATGGTTCTATCAATCAAGAGGAATTTGCTTGCTAAAGAGGCGGAAGCATTATAATTGCATGTAAAATGCGAGTTATCAAATTGAAAATTGCGAACTAAACGTTATCTATCAATTCAGTAGCGAAGTGGTCAAACGGTACAAGTCAATCTTGAATATTGACCAGTTTTCAATGAATATCTCAGAATTTAAGGGAGACAGTAAAATTTTTATTATAACCTTTTTTGTAGAGCCGATTGAGAGCTACAACAAATATAATTATTGAAATTTCGTTATTTGCCTTAGATTGGGAAATATTCTTCAAAAACCCGCCTGGGAGATGCGTCGACTTAAAACGTTTTTCCACTTCGCTATCGAATTCTGATTTACGTTTTTTTTTGCACTTAAGATTGCTTCAAAAGGGAATGAAATTTGAATGAAACAACCGGATAATTGAACGGCAGATATTTTGCACCTCAGGAATAATGGGTGTGGAGGAAATTGTCGTTGTTTTTGTTGCAAAAATTTTTTTCACGGATTAAATGTTACGGAACTTTTGCATAAATTAAGTCAAATCAGCATAGACATTGACTTATTCATGGTTTCATGATCAGGAATAAGAGATAGAACATCAACTAGAAACCCTGTACGAGATGACTTTATGCTTTTTAACTACAAGATTCAACTAGGATGCATTGAGGATCAATTCAGAAACTATTTCAAATCGGATTCGCTGGTTGCTCAAACAATGAGTGAAAATGTCGCGGATTTAATTGCAACTCAACTAATGTTGGGTGCTTACGACCGTGCGAAACAGGCTGGGAAGGCAAATGTGACAGTGAAGCTCCCAGGGTTCGAAAAGTTTACTGATGACCAAATGTTCTTCATCGCTTTTGCTCGGGTAAAAATACGCTACCGATATTCAGAGTGAATCATCAATTGGTTTTCACGCAGGGGAGGGTAAAGCGGATCGCAGGGCAAAACGGACTCCTGAGACAGAAAATTAATCATTTTTGTTTTAATTGGTGTTTTTGTTGATTGGATTTATGGGTAGGATTGAATAAATAACTGTGTGAATTTAATTTGACTGTGACTCTTTATTCAGTCATACGTAGAAAATACATTTCGATCTTTACTCTAACTCCGGCTGTCGGAGACTAACTTCAGAAAAATAAGGATCAGTACATTGGACCACTTGGAACGCATTTTCTCTTTGTCCTTTGTTCTATGTTTTGTTCGTAGTATTCGTAGTCACCGCCATGTGGTCGCCACGTAATATAAACCCAGTTTTAAGAACCTCAGTCGGAAGAATTTTGTGTGGTGACACTGAAATGTGTCGACCTGTGTAGAGATTGATTTTAGAATACTATTTCGTTCCATGAAATTAAATATTGCTTTTGTTTTTTGTTCTGCTTCCATTCGGAAGCAAAAAAAAGCATTTGTGGTTTGAGGTGATCAGCAAATTTGATCAAATTGCGCTTCAACGACACTTATTGTCTATAATGTTATATCCGAAGACAGATAAAACGTCGAGGATTTGAATCGATATCCTACCTATCTCAAATACATATACCAAAAATCTCTAAGGATATTTCTATCCTTAGGTTTAGATTCTTTTATATTGTTGACACTGATTTCTCCTGTTTAACTTGTGGCTAGAGGACTTGGGTTCCGTAATGAATAGTATTTTGTTATTTATCAATCTAATATATGTTGGTTTATTCTGAACTGATTGGGTTTGGATACATTGATGTGAACATTTTCCGGACCCGAACGGGTGTTATGAATCTAATTTGACTCTACTTGGAAGAATATCACACGCTCGCTATTGTCAGCCTTAGGATGGTACGTTTATTTGTAGTTGATTGTGCTGACTTACATTTGATGTTTTAACTTCTCTCCCTCTCTCTCTCTCTCTCACTCTGATGGTAGTGAGCTCTTAGTAGCTAGGGTCGTGTCCTTGAACCGTTCCTGGAAGTGTGGTTTTACTATGTCTCCAGGATTGTCGTCACACGTGAAGGAATGTTCAATTTTATTTTGTATTTATGTGGAAAGAGTTCTCAGTCACTGATCAACAAATCGTGTCCCAGCACTCCTGTATACGCGATGATTGGCACTAGTTTTGACTAAAGGTTCCTGAACACCCACTACGCCCTTCTACGTATTCTCAAGGCTCGAATACACCAATAAGGTCACCAAAGATTTTGACAATGTCTTTGGTGGTGAGAACGGTTTCGCGGTCAATTTCGTGGATCACTCGCAAGTGTTGGTAGTTACCCTTCGGGGGAACAACTGAGTCTGAAGATGCTCCGAGTATCGGGCATTTATTAGCTTGGGTGATTCACGAAATTGGCCTGGATTACATTTGAAGTATTGAAGAGTAGGCTTATTGTGTAAGTGGCGCAACTTTGGTCAGCAGTAATGCGTCGAAAAAGAATTTAGCAATGTGGGACATAACAATAAAAACCCTGTGATGATCAGGATCCAAGAAACTCACTTTTAATTCAACACATTCAGTGTTGCTCATTTGAAAAAAAGAAAAAAAAATTACCAATTTTCAGTCAGTGGTCCGGTCTGCCTTAGAGGTCCGTTTTGCCCTACTCTCCCCTATAGCTGGGCTTTTTTTAATTCTCAAGAGCTCATTTTTTCAGACATACTGTCAAGTTACACTTGACAACTATAAAGATGAATCTGACGTACACAGTCCACCGGAACTTCGGGTAAATGTTGGTATTAGTAATGTTCCAAGATTTGGCGCAGCTTTCAATTGTACAGTGGGAAGTTCCATGAATGCGGCGAAAAAATGTACCATTTGGGAAAAAAGAAGTTCTTCCTTGAATGACGACAGATGACTCGTTATTTTTTGCAACATTGCTTTTTGGATGAGCTTTAGAAAAAATGTAGATTATTTATAGTTCTCCGGCAATTTTGAGAACTTGTGAATTGTGTACAAATGATGTCTTTCACTTTATCAAAAATATTGGTAATATGGTAGCATAGTAGGCTCATATTTTTCAGATTTACCGATAGGTAAATATTAAAGTTTGTCTTAATCTTGAAGTATATCGACGTAAATTAGATCGGAACCTGGTTGCTGTAAACGAGATTCACATCTTTGAGTCATCACACTTATTTATATGGAGGCTGGCTCATGTAGATGTACGGACCTCCCATTCTACGCTTTTCTTTCTAAAAGTAATTTTTTAAATTTTCAACTTGTGAGGTGTTCCCATAAATTCAACGTGTAGTGAAGGACGATTTTATGGTATAATTACCGTGAAAATTGATAGAAACTTTTCCATTGATTTGAGAAGTTACCAACGAAACCCTTTCATCATCGGTCTATTCTTTAGGTACTCCGACAATATTCCAGAATATTCTAGACTTTTCTAGGGTTTATCGCCTAAATGTTGATTTCAACATGAAAAAAATTGAAACATGAAAAAATGCTAATCCTTTTCAAACGTCCAGTCCGCAAACATTGTGGGCTTGTATCTTTACGAAAAAACGCATGACTGTGGAACCAATTATTTTTATTTAAAAAACTAGTAATTATTCAAAGCCTGAAATTTTTGTTTAACCATTTCATTTTTGAACATGTGGGCTATCGTAAAAAATTGGGATAATTTTTGAAAAACAAAATTGAGGTCCTGAGAATCGGTCAAAGTTAATTAATTTGCACGGCACACGAAACACATTAGTTTTTTCCTCTTCTTATCATAATAACGCAGAAACTATCGAATGAAAAAAAAAGAAACGCCGTATTGAAGTAGAGTAATATGCAATTTAACGAATGAAATTAGCCCCATAGTAGTGCCATTTTTTTCGCGAAGATACAAGCCTCCAAAGTTTGCGGATTACACTTCTGAAAAGGATAGTAGTTCTCCAAATTTTAAGCAAAACATAAAGAGTTTATTTACATTGAATAAATTTTTTTTTGAAATTAATATTTTATTTATTTCATGTAAATTAATTAATTTAGTTGAAACAAGTAAATGAGTTTATTAATTTTTAATAAATATATTCTTGAGTCGAATTAAAGTTTTTCAAATAATTATTTTTATTTAATTTAAATGAGTCATTTTTCTGGGTGTGGTCTCAAATAAAAACGTGAAGAAGAAATTTTGTCGCATAAAAAAATGGATATAATATTTACCAACTATTCTGATGGTTGAGAAATATTTTTCAGTGTTTCAGTTCAGGTAGTCTCGTGAATAAGCATAGGCAGATCTTCCATGTCCGAAGATGCTCGCTCTTGGTACCTGGAGAAGGACTGTCATAAAGCCATTTGACTTTTCACTAACCTCCTTAGTGGCAAATTGCCACTAGGTCAGATATTTTTGTACAATTTTAAATCGTTTTGCCTAAGTCTAAAAATATCGCAAAAAATCCGAAAAAATTCCTTTAGTCTTGCCTTCGCTATTTCCTGTCGTTTTGGCAACGTAAAGTTATCATGGATATTCATCTTAATAAGTTGAGTTATAGACAAAAATATTGACGTGTTCGATGGTCTATTTGGAGTCGAATAGTCGATTAGTGGCTGACTGAATAACAATGTATCCATCATCAAGTTAACGCAGGTATGCCTTTCAGTCACTTATAGGTCGTCTCCAGGAGTTGTCATGTCGATAACTATAAAATGACTGAAAGTAGACGAAACGTTGACTCAATGCGCCCATTCTCATTTGCACCTCGAAAGCACTCATAGTTAGTGCACAATCAAGCAACGTTTCGTCATATTTCAGACTGTCACGGCGACAGTTATTGGAATCACTCAAAAAGTGTGCTAACGCGGCATTGGACAGTGATTGGGTATACTAGAAGATAACTTCGTAGTCAACTTCACAGTTGCCTGTAACTATTATAGATGCCGCTGCGCTATCGGTAAATATATAGTATCACTCCCCCCCCTCCGATTTCGTTCAAATTTACAGGGACGCTATCTTGTAGATAACTTGTTTCTGATTGGGTAGTCACGTTCCCATCGTTCTGCAATTTTTGGTTATTAATCACGTGAAATAATCACAGAGCAATGAAATAAATATCCTGAAATGTCCTATTCCCTTGTTCGAGCCAGTCTCGATCTCGTTGAGTATGAAACCGATGTGAATCCAGGTAATAATAGAATAAACACTAATTTATAGGTTAGGCCAATCAAAAATTGGCGCATCAACGCAGAATTATTGATTAAAAATTGTTTTTAAAATGTTCTTTGTATAATTTAGACAAGAAAAAGAAGAAGAACAAGCGACAGAATGGCATACTGGATTTAATACCAGCCCATCAGAGACTTCGACAAAAGGGAAAAACAGCACGATCTCACAAGATTGATCAGAACTCACGAAAATCATTGAAAAACCCGGAAAAATCCGTCCAAGATAATGTTCAGAGGCTTCTTTCATTGAGCAGTCGTAAACTTGATGGAGAAACTGCTGAAAAGGTACGAAAAAATGAAAAAATGATAAATACCATAAATGTGCCGACGATTGTGGACTATTTAGCAAATAGGGGTGGGTGCATGGGAAGATATATGGGCACCAGATTTAAATAATGAGTTGAAGTGGCTCAAATCTACTGTTCCGACTTCATTTGAAGTTCGTAAAAACGAACACATTGTCATAAGACTGCGTCGTAGGAGTTGAAGGGTAAAGCAAAAACGGGGTAAAATGGACACTTCGGTTCCTGTCTCAATTTTTTATGTTTCAACAATGTTATTCAATTTCTGAAACACTAGTCATGATTGCGACTTTTAAGGCCCGGGTGTACTATCTTTCGAACGTTATCTCGATGTTTTTTTTTCATCTTTCGTCATCTGAAATTGCCAATTAAGTCATGCATCCTGCAGAAGTTTTGCAAAATTATGAATGAATAATCAAAAAAAATAGAAAAAATCCTTAATTTTGTCAAAGAGCATTGTTAATTTATATTCAGAATAAATTAAATAATAAGAAATTGAAAAGTGTATCTGATTTACAGTGACAAATGGCAGCTTGTCACCCAATATCATGCAGGGGGAAGACTGATTTCGTAAATCTTTTCCCACACTGCACAGAGACATTTATTACGGAAAAGGCTCTTTGAAAAAAGTTGTAATATTTTGGAGAATTTTTTTAACACACTTTTATCACATAAAAATGGCAGATGGCTATATACCTCTGTTTTGAAAATTGAGATACCTAGCTGTTACTTCCCATGAGGAGTCAGTGTTTTGTTATCCATCATGGGAAATGCCAGCTAATAGATAACTTGCCACAGCGAATCAGATATTTGTAATTTCCACTTTTTTCAACTCATTCTAACTCTCAATTAAAAACGCTCTTTGAAAAAGTTCAGAATTTTTTCTATTTGTTTTATCATTCTATCATAATTTTTGGGAATTTCTACATGATGTACCACTCAATGGACAATTTTGAATTACGAAAGATAAAAAAAATCCAGGTAACATTCGAAAGATAGTACACTCAGGCCTTAAATTAAAAAAAAAATCATTGTTTTGTCGTGGGGGTGGTAAACCAAATTTTTCTTTGCTCATTCATCCTCCCCTCTTGCTACTGTTTTATGATGATTTCCTTTGTAAGTGGAAAAGTAGCCATCTTGCAAATTTCGCAAAAGGTCAGTTGTGTAGGACGTGCAATTGTTCATTGAAAAAAATTAATGATTTCAAAGTTATTTTAATAGTAAAACGGGAAATCCAAAGCTACTCTATATTTCAAACTTCAAGGCAAAATTTAATAGAGTTGAAGTATATTTGTTAATATCTCTTCCAACAGTAATTTCTACGAAATCGAAGGCGCGCTCCGCGCGTCTGACAATTTGATAGATTTTATATGATTCATCACGTTAATATTTAAGTAGATGGGAATCAATGTTCTTTCACGTATACGAATTTTTATAGTATAATACTAAGGAGAAATTCTTCGAAATCCATGCAAACTTCAATTGAGAATTAATAGATACTTCGTTGGGAATCACTAACACTAACATCATCATCAGTGATCAATATCATCAACATTATCAACAAAGTCAGTATCATTATCATCATGTATGCGATTTCTCTTTCAGACATTTAGGAATAAACGTGTGACATCTCCTGTTTATATAAGATACAAAGTTATGGACACGATTCTGTTGGAAAATGTCTGTTGAAAATTTTCTTGATCAAAAGTTGAATAGGACCAACTTTTTCGGGTGTCCATTTTACTCTTGAATAATTTTTCGGTTGTGGACTTTGTCAAGAAGCAATTTTTTAAAATTTCATTATTGACAATTTTTTGAAAATTTTTTGAGCATTCATTTTAGTCTACTCTATAAGCATTTATCGGGTGTCCATATTGCCCAATGAAACAATTCTCGAAAATTAGAAGTTTGAAAAGAAACCGAAAATTTTTTCCGGAAATTTTTTGAGAGGCTATTTTACCCCAGATGTCCATATTGCCCCACCTATTTCTGAAAATCCGAAAAAATTGTTTTCCTGAGAAAAAATATAAAAAGAAGTCATTTCTCTCAAAAAATTCGCATATTTATCTTTCGATCTGTTAGAAGAAATTTACCATTGATGTCCCAGTAAGTGCCGCAGTCCCGATTTAAGCCACCCTCAGCGGTTTTTTAATGAATAGATTTTAAAATTGACGAACATGTCATCTTGGTGTAAAATGAATTTTCTATTCCTCTAACGAGAGGAAAAAATAATCGTAATTGCACGATTCCAAAAATTCAAAATTAAATGGTAAGTACCGCGATCTGTGAAAAAAAAACTAACAGGTTTAGACAAAAATACCAGAAACATTTCGACAGAATATTCCATTTCCCCTGAATGAAATGTCACTTCACACCTTCTCTGGATTCTCTAGTTCCCGAAATAGTTCGTAGAGAACTACCGGACAGGTGAATAATGAACAGAAGCAATGAAAATCAATACAGATGACAGAAAAAATGAAAATTAATAAATGAACCCGCACTATTTTGCAAGCATCATGTTAGAAATAACGGTTATAAGTTCCTGAGAATTCTGATTTGAGTGGAAATATCCATTTGGAAGCAACGCTCCAAAGAAAGAAAACAAGTGGGAAATTGCTTTTCTCTTCATATAGGAGAGAGTGGGGCAAAATGAAACAGGCGAAAAACGACCATTTGACGCAATTCAAGCAAAAAGAAAATTTTCTTATCAACTTTCGTTTATTTACTTTTTTTATTATTGGGAGCACTGATGAAAATAATAATTTTCTATTCGGTAAGAAAGAACATGCGGTGCGAAAAAATCACTGATATTCGAAACCCCTATTTAACGTAGCGACCTACCTCCACAGATGAATCCCACTCCCCCGTTAAATCATTTTTGTTAATTGATTTTTCCACGACATGCCGAACTAAAATGGTTATTACATTCAGACCAAAATTCCAATTCCGAATCTAATCGAATTTCCGAAGAATTCCTTGCAGTTTCCAATAATCTCAAAATTTCTAAAAGGCTAGAGCTACTTCGAATGGGCTAGTTCTAAAAATACAAGAACACCACTTCGAATTGGCGAAGTCGAATTGGCGAATCCAAAGTATTCAAAAAATCTAAATAATAATCTTGGTTTTCCTCCTTCTAATCCCCAGTTATTCAATCGAGCCGTAAAACAACCCCTCAAACCCAAAGAGAAACCCCAGGAGAAGCAGACTACAGCCTTCACAGAAGAAGACTTCGCAAAATTTGCAGCTGAATACACCGGCGAATAGTAAAATGCTCAACAGTGATCGTGAAAAGGGGAAGATCATTCTGATAGGAACATCAATAGTATTTATTTACTACACAGTCTGGGTGTTGGGTCTGCCGTTCATCGACGACAATCGCCTGCAATCCCTCTTCTACTCCCGCAATGTTGCTCTAATGGTCCCTGCTATCTGCGGACTGTGTTTCATTGGTGGTTTAATCTTATTCACTCTATACCATTTGAGCCCAGTTATCTTCGCTTCGACAGATAGAAAAATTGAATGACATCACTGAATATGGCCTCTGGGATTATGTAAGAAGAGAAATAGTAATTCAATCTTGCACGTTCGTTTATGTTATTGTATTGCCTTTAAACAAAAGTATTTTTCAGTAAAATTCAGAAATAAAAATCTGAAAAAAAATAGTTTTTGATGAGTACTTCAATAATTGGGCTCTCAGGGACCAGAAGATGACTAACTGGATTGTAATTGGGATTGGAGGTGCCACATGCAGTGGAAAGACAACACTGGCCAAAAAACTTCACGAGAAATTCAAAAATTCTGTTCTTATAAATCAAGACACTTATTTCCGTCCTAAAGACGATCCACGACATGTTCACATCCCCGAATTGAATCATCATAATTGGGATATCCTGGAGAGTCTAGACATGAACAAGATGCATTCAGATATCTTGGGGATCTTATCGTCTGGTGAAGATGATAATAATCAAGGTGAAACGAAACTACTGATCATGGATGGGTTTCTCCTCTTTAATTATAAACCGATTTTTGATTTGTGTGATATGAGGTATTTTCTGGACTTGTCGAGGGAAGAGTGTGAATGGAGGAGGAATCGTCGGGTCTATGATCCACCGGATGTGCCTCGATATTTCGATATGGTCGTGTGGCCAGAATACGTGAGGTATAAGAAGGAAATTGAAGATGACGAGGAAGTTCTGAGAGGAATCACCTTTCTGGATGGTACGGTGGATAATGATCAGACATTTCAACGAGTTTTTCGAGAAATTTCCCAGAAATTGTAAGAAAATTGGAAAAGAAACCTTTTTATCCTCAATCAGGGGAATTTTCCTTGTTTAAGACGCTTCTAACAAATTTAGATATAGTCAATTATTTTTGAGACCTCATTCAGATCATTTTGTGAATATCTTGTAAGTTATGAGGTTCTGAGAAGAATGTTAAAGTAGCTTCTTTGTACCCCATTGAACCGTCTGTGAAAGAGGATATAAATATCTGAAGAATGATGAGATTTACATTGAGAATTTTTTTTTTTTTTTTTGAGAAATACGTCTTTACTCGTTTCAAGAAGCCCATGGCTCGAAAATTAACAAGAAGAAATTGTTTCACAACGAGAAAAGAAATCTTTCGTCAAGAGATTTTGTACTTGTCTAAGATGAGGGACAATTTGTTTACAACAAGTAAGCGATTTCTCGAACCAAGTCAAGTAGTTTTTGCATTAAAATATGTTGAATTTGAGACTTCTTAACTATTGAATAAATTGATTCAACTACACTTGTCATAAACAAATTATTTTCGTGGTTGGAACAAGTAAAGAACCTCTTGATGAAAGATTTTTCGTTCTCAGTGTAAGCTATTTTGTTCTTGTTAATTTTTGAGCCATGAGTTTCTTACTAGAAAACTTTTTTTCTCATTGAAAATAAAAAGGCCAAAGAAACCGTTTCTTTAGTAAATAAAATTCTTTAGAAAAATGCCTTTTCATGAATTTCCATTAACCTTATCATTTCCAAGATATTCACAAAATATTTACGATGAAGAACTTCTCAGACGAAGTCGCTTTCTGAATGGAACTGTCGACAATTACCAGACATTCCAACGAGTTTCATGTAGATTTCTCAGGAATCATAAGAAAATAGGAGAGTAGATCTTTTCTCGTAGTTTTGAACATTTTTAGCAAATTTACAAATCGTCTATTGTCTTTAGCTCAATGCATATGAAAATATATTAGAAGTTTTCATAATCTTTTCGAAGTTTTCAGTTTGATGAAGTTTATAGCACAATTTGGAAAGGTAGTTTTTAAAAAAAAAAAAAAGTTTCTGATGACTTTCACACTTCTCAGTTCTTTATTCAGCATCCTCATTCTTCTTCTTATTCTAGTTGATCTGCTGATAAGATCCAGCCGTAGCCCGACGGCTCAGAATTATCACCACATATGAAAGTTATTGAATTCCTTAAAGAAACTTACAAACTATGAATTTTATACCATCCGTGCCATTATCAATTTTTCTCTTCGCTTGCCTTGAATAGCGATTGTATTTGAGCATTTTTGTGATCAAGCAAATAAAAAGATGATAAATTTACTGGTATTTTCTGTTTCAATTTATTTATGCAAATTTGTCTTGAATTTCCTAATCGTCTTCAGTGTGAAAAGTTTAGTGAATTAAGAGTAACAATATCTCCAGAATCTTTATATGAAAATAAAAAAGAAAATAAAACGAGAAGAATTTATTATTTCAGAGATATTGTGACTTTTAATTTCACTTATTCGTGTTTTATTAGGCAGTTTTTTTTTATTGAAAAACTGAATCTCCGAATGTTGACTGTAATCCTCACAAATCAAAGTTGCACTTAAAAAACATGGGAAATACTACCTAAAACGTACATTGATGCATTCATGGCTCTCTGTACTCCTTGTTTTTAACGCAAATGAAGAAAAATAATGCGCAACAGACCGATGTTACATAGAGTAAGTGTTGATCTTGGGTTGGCTCTGGGCATTGGTGGCGTTGCTAGATGGTTGCCCTGTGGTTGAATCGTCCTGGTCACTCTGACCGCATACCTTACGTACATACTGAGGCATCACAGTCACTTCCTCGTCCATTTCGAGTACACGTTTGTCCAGCTCTGCACATGCTGCCATTTGTTTCTCGAGACGTGCGAGCATACGTGGGGAGTTGTATTTCTCGGGGTCATCGTGGAACACTACCATACCGTCTTTCTGGTTGATTGTTGCGAATATTTCACCATCTTCAATCTGCAAATAACGAATATTTTTTTATAGAAAAATGTCTATAGATGTGGATTTTTTTATATAACGTATGCTGTTGGGATTTTCTATAAAATTCCCAGGCGTGATTTTTCCATGTTTTTTTCTTGCATTCTATTATCAGAAACCAATAAAAACACAGCGAAACAAATTTTCGCACAAGAATTTCTATAGAAAAATGGAAATCTAGTGACTTTTTTATATTGAATATCTCTTGACAAAATGACACGGTAAAGTTGCAAAATCTTCTATAGAAATGGCGTAAAAAACGAATAGAATTTTTAAATGGAATTTTAAGGATGTTTAGCCATTATCGGTAAATGTGTTTTTTTTTCACGGTCAAGGAAAATTCTATAATTTTTTTCGGCTGACATCAGAACATATATAACGAACTTTTCTAACGTTAAAAAAAAATAATCGCAATAGTCTCGACAGAAATGAATAAACTAATTTTTCCTTATACACGAGCTCTTATGAAATTTATGTTGAAATTGATAATTCACCTACTAGAAGACTTTAAAAATAGAAATCAAAATAGAATAGAAGGTAATGTGTAAAATCATACTGAATCCAATGGCCAAAGAAGGGGTACCCGGGCAAAAAGCACATGTTAGCGCATGCATTTGGTGCATTTTGTCTATTTCATTTCTAAATAATGAACGTGGGTTGGTGAATATCTTCATCTCTCAGTTGAAAAAAAAATCATTTTTTTAAACTACTTGCGATTTTGAATAAACATCCTTAATTCCCAAGACATCAACCAAATACACAGCAAAAGAAATGGACATGAAAAATGTATTCTACATATTCTTATAATCTTTACCATATTGAGAATATATTTCTCAGCATCAGCAGGTCCAGCCAGTTGCACTCGACTGGCGACATCGCTGAGACTGAGCGTCAAGAACGTTTTGGTGAGTCTCTGAATATTCTTCTTGTACAGATACCCCAGAACCTGCTTAACCAGTCCAAGATTGTGATCTCTAGTGAATAATTCTTGATACTTAGTGATAATCCCCTGGACCTCGTCACAGCTATGCGTCTGATAAGCCGCAGCGAGCTCCTGATAAGGCTGACTGAGTGGCCTGATGAATCTGATCAGTACAGGACTCGCGTATTTTGGTATATTGATGATCTTGCCATGCAGTATCAGCGATACGAGGATGAACTTCTTGTATGCCTCCAGCATAATGTGACTGACAGCCATCGCTGGCAGTGTCACGCATACCTCGAAGAAGTACAGGGCTCTGTCGTAGTTCTTTACAGCTGTGTAGATCATTCCACCATAGTAGTAATAGAGGAGGAAATACTTGGAGTCGAATTGTCCACCCTCTTGACTGATATTCGTTATGTCTGTATCGAGAAATTCGAGGGCTGGCTTGAAGCACTTGGAGAGGAGGCAGAGCTGACAGAGGTCTGCGTGTATCGATGTCAATTGGCTGTCGAACAGCTGAATCTTTCTGATAGCACGACGAAGGAGATCAATACCTCCAATTGGCCACGACAGCTCGACCATTACTTGAGTTACGAGGTGACACAGCTCTGCATCTGGGGGAAAATTAATTCATTATATTAAATCTTGTTTAATTTTTCTGTTCGAGCTTTGTCAATTGATTATGGAATGCTTCTCTCTGCATGTATAAATAATTTCTATGATTTATTTTTGTTTTCTAGCTGCTTTCTGATATTATTGTTATATATATATATATATATATATATATATATTGTTATATTATATTATATATCATTATTATATTATCGTGTTATATATTTTTCAATATGGCTGCTATCAATGCACATTTGAGTGGTATATTCTGACCTATATAGGAGAGAGTGGGACAAAATGAAACAGCCGAAAAGCGACTATTCGACGCAATTAAAGCAAAAAAAAATTGTTTAATTAACTTTTTTTTATTATTGGGAGTACTGATGAGAATAATCATTTTCTATTCGGTAGAAACGAACAGACGGTCCGAAAAAAATCACTCATATTCGAAACATATAGCGTAGCGACTACCTCCATAGGTGAATCCCACTGCCCTGTTAGATCTTGATCTCAAGGTCCACTAGTCAGCTCGTCCCCTGACCCTCGAACAGCCAAACTAACAAGAGACCTCGTCATCGCTGAGTCTATGTAGTCTCCTCATTCAAAAGTCCCGAAGGTTTTTCATATATTTCTTATATCAAGACGACAATATTAATAATTTTCACTAATTTTATCCACAGTTCTCTTTCCAAGTAATATGAAATATTTAATCTATAATTCAATTGATTAGATTGGGGCGATTACACTTTTCCTTCTTCATTGGATTGAAATTCAGCATCACATTTCCCTTCTTCCATGTTGGGTCTCCCCCTGGGCCTTCCTCTGGACTTTGGATTATGCTGTTTCATTTTCTTTTCAATTAATCCGTTGACAAAATCTTCTCCCATCAAAACTTCTCAATAATTTTCCATTCTACTGAATGAAAAATTATTATTTTCATGAGTACCCCAATAATAAACAAAAAGTTAATAAAAAAAATAGTTGATGAACAAAATTATTTTTTTTTGTTTGAATTGCGTCAAACTGTCGTTTTTCGACTGTTTTATTTTACTCCATGTTTAAATTTACCCCATTGTTTCATTTTGCCCTACTATCTCCTACATATTTGGAGAATTATTCAATTGACAGAGAAAGATCAGAAACATCTCTTCTTCGTATTCAAAATCATTCTTTACAAAAAGTGCTCTTGATGAATTTCTCTTAATCTTATCATTTCCGAGAATAAAAATTCAGAAATGGACACTTTCATGTGGAAATTTCATAGATTAAGGCCCGGGTGGATTATCTTTCAAACGTGATCTTGATTGTTTTTTTTATTTTGATAATCTGAAATGATCTCCAATTGCTATTCAGTTTTACATAGCCCTGGAGTCTCCAAAAATTATGATTGTACAATCAAAAAAACGTTGAAAAAAATCTGAACATTTTCAAAGAGCGTTTTTGAATAATATTGGGAAATAAACCCAATAGAGAGGAAATTGCAAATTAATAATTTGATGTATTTAATGGCTGTTAGGTCGTCATTTGTCACAGTAGTCAATGGCTGTCAGATCGTTAGTTACCAAGATAAATTATCCATTCACTATTTCCTCTCTATCGGACTTATTATTTAATTTTTATTAAAAAAGCTCTTTGAAAATGTTCAGTTTTTTTCTACATTTTTTTGATTGTACAATCATAATTTGTAGGGACTCCTGCGTGATGTAAAATCCAATGGAAATTACAATATATTTTACATTATAACAATGGAAAACCAATCGAGATGACGTTCGAAAGATAATCCACCCGGACCTTAAGTTTAGAGAAAAATATTACAAGTCCATTTTCTATTCCGTAGAATCCTCTGCAAAGTGTTTTAATAAATTTCTATAAGCTCATTTATCTAGATCTTCAACGAATGGAAACATTTTCTCCCGAATACCACTCGAGCTTCAAAATTAATCAGGTATTCCCCTGAACCTTCCATGCATACAAAGGGACCTATCGGACAATACCTCTTAGTTTAGAAGCTCATATGATATTATAAGTCCCAATTTGTCGTGCCTGGTCCCAAGAATCTCTCGAGTTACTCAAATCTTTTAAGCCTTTTCGACACTCAATCGACGACAAGATTGACACAAGAATGGACTTGAGTTTATGAATGTTTTGTTTTTCTCTCTGTATGAATTCCAATAATACTCACATGTCTCAGGAGCAAATCGCACTTGCTCTCCATTGCAGCCAGCGATGAACTCATGCACTTGATTGAACAGCGTCTTATAAGCGTCAGCATTACTGCTCCCAGCTGGATTTGGAAGTGAGAATTTCACGCAGAGAACTGCCAGTATTCCTAGCGAGTGCTGCTGAAGGTCCAGGGTCTCCAGGACATTGTCCAAGTGCTGGGCATTTTTCATAAGCACCTCAGTGGATTTACTGATGACATCGCACAATTCCCGAAAATTTCCTTCAACCAATGACGCAATGAGTCAATGAATCGTGTTATTAACAATTACAAAAACAATTTATTGATGAGAAAATACATTGAAGAGCGAAGTCTGAGGTGTTTCTTTGAGGTTAACATTATGTTAGGAGACTTACCTTGAGTGGAAAGAGTCTGAACATTATTTACAAACTGCTCTAGTGCCGAGGCCATTATCGTCCACAGATTCCGCTTATCATCACCTCTATCTAAAATTCTTAGTTCGAATTTATTGTCGAATTGCACCCGAAAACCTCAGTAAAAAAGCGATCGCAGTACACTCAGTCCGTCTCCCATGAGTTTTAGAATCTTCGTGAATTACTATTGGTCGAGTGTCACGTGATGAGGGGGCATCGACCAATGAGAAATCATCGGGCATTTTGTTTTGCTCACAAAGGGGAAGAGCCTTTCCGTTCAGTTTGTGTTTACCCGGCGTCAACGAAAGTCTGTCAATGCGAGAAATCATCGATTTTTCACTTCATTTGGTGATTGAATCCTTTGATAATGTCACAGGAGAAGAAGAAACTTAGGCAGAGACACGGGAAGCAGGAGAATGAGCAGAAGATCGAGGAGAAAACTGGGGAAAGTGACAGAGTAGAGCCGTAAGTTGTTTGTTTATGGGAGGTGGGACGAGATGGTCCTTGAAACATTGACATTTTCTGAGTAAATCGGACTACAGTAAACTGTCAATGAGGAATATTCCCCCACTAGTCCCCCCACACTCGCATCGCCATGAAAATGTTACTTTTGGAGGATCCCGGCATTCCTTGGAGATTATTACCCCATTTACACATTTACTCTCTGCTTCTCGTTTAATTTTGGGCTGTGTAGGAATGAACAACATCCAAATTTGTTCATCACAATAATTTTTTTTGAATTTAGCTAATCTGAAAAAATTGTGAGATAGTTTTTCTAACCCCCCAATTGTAGAAAAATCGAGATCAATCTCCAAGAGGGTGAGGGTCAGCCGTTGAGTCATTTCATTAAAAATCGGATATTCCGATTTTTTAAGGGGAGACTACTATGAGCTTTCAATTAGGGATGAAGAGAAAATTTGGAGAAATAGGGGAGATTGAGGTAAAATAACACTTGACTTTTTTTTAAAATATTAGTGACGGGTTGAAATGTTGATGAAATTTGATCATTTTTTTTTTCAGTACAAAGAACAATTCTTTCCCTTTGTGATGAGCCTAAACTGAGCTCTATTGATACATTTGTCCCTGAGTTATGAATAATTTTAAAAAAGTCTAAAGTGTCCATTTTACCCTACCCTCCCATAATATAATAACGTTCGTTAATTTGTCATAGATGCAACATTTCGCTAAATATTTTAGCTTCTTCAGGCTCTGGAAATAAATTACAAAACAAATAAAAAACACCTACTATGAATACTACATTAATTGTTTATTGTTCGTTCGCTCCGCAAACGCTCAAAATGTTAAAAATAGTCCAGGGCCTTCAATTTTTGAGCTACAAAGGTTTTTTTTCAAAATTTGTGAAAAAAAATGTATACAATAACAATTACGAATTAGTTTTTTGAAATTCAACTTCCACACAGCTAATTTCGTTTTGTTTAATATAAAAATTGGCGCAATTTATGTAAAATAGGCAGAAAAATTATCCTTAAAGTATTAAAAATAAATTCTTGATTCTTTCAGAAATATTTTTCGGGCTATTTTACATGAATGGTGTAATTTTTTTATTAAAATAATAACGAAATTAGCTGTGTAAGAGTTGATTTTCAAAAAACTAATTCGTAATTGTTATTGCACATGTTTTTCCCAAAAAATTTCGCAAAAAAATCCTCTGTGGCTCAAAAATTGGAGGCCCTGCACTATTTTTAACATTTTAAGGGTTTGCGGGGTAAACGAACAATAAACAATTAGTTTTTTTGCACTAATTATTCGTTTTTAGAAATATATAATTGATCTTCAATTTATGAAAAATCTCATTCCAATAGCCCGCGACATTTAAAACTCGTAGTAGTCTCCCCTTAAACCATATCAACAGCGAAGCGATAAACCGGTTTAAGTCGATTTAGACTATTGGTCAGTTTTTAATAAATATCTTGGAACGTAAGGGAGATAGCAAATTTTTTGTAATAACCTTTTTTATAGAACGAATTGAGAGCTATACAAAAGGCAATGATGCAAATTTTGCTATTCCTCTTAGATTCGCAGGTTTACCGCTTCGCTACTGATATTTAGTTATCCTAACACAAAAATTGGAAGCTTAAAGTTGAGCGATTACAATGGTTCCATTCGAAAACAAAAAATGCAATTATTCACTTGTTTCACTTCTTAAATCACAGGAAATATGGACCAATACCCAGGTTTCCGTATCAAAAAGTCTGGTCCCGTAGTATCTTGATCCTGGGTGTCATGCTCATCGTCTGGTACAACAGCACCCGCAGCAAAGAAGTGTCATTTGCTCGTCAGAGAGACGTTTTACTCAGTCGAACACAGAATGCCGACTGCTCGATAGATTATAAGGCGGATATTGATAAGTATCCCGAGTGTGTGCCTGAAAAATGTGGGAGGGTGATCACCGATAAGTTGGTCTCCACGAGTGAGACTGATGTACTGCTGAAAATTGCTGTCAATGGGATCAATCTCGGAGGATCCGCAGGCGGAGCTAGCATTTTGGATCTTCACAGTGGAGCTCTCAGTAAAGGAAACAGTTTTGTTAATGTTTTTGCACTGGAGGGGGCCAACAAAATATTCAATCCTCCGGATTTTGCTATTTATAAGTGAGTAGGAATGTCGATATAGGACATGGATTTCATTTATGAATTTGATGCTTTTAGAGATTTATTGGTGTATGGACACTTGGACATTTAAATCAGTAGCAAGGCGGTAAAACCGTTTAAGTCGATTTTGACTATTGATCAGTTTTCAATGAATATCTCGAAATCTAAGGGAGATAACGAAATTTTCGTAATTACTTTTTTTGTAGACCTTAATCAGTGGAAAAAAATTAATTTCACTTTTATATAATGACGGAATCACTTGAAAATACTGAACATTCAGACGATTATTATTATTGTGAAAAGTAGAGTTGTGTAGAACGGATTATGGGCTACAAAAAAAGGTCATAATGAAAATTTTGCTATCTCCCTTAGATTTCGAGATATTCATTGAAAAATAGTTACAATTTACTTGAACCGTTCTAGTGCTTTGCTACTGAAATTACATGCCAATTTTCAATCTTGTGACTTTGCATCCAATTCAAGGCAAATTAGCCATGCAGTTCTGATCTTTACACTTTTGACAAATTTTTACTGATCACTGTACAGTTTTTCGAAATTTTTGTCAAGTGGGAGTTTCACTAAAACTTCAATTTTCACAACTTGGTGAAAAAATCATTCGAAACTGTAAATTTTAGTTCAATTATTCCATTCAATTTCATGGGAATCAGAAACAATTTCGTAAAATTTTTCCAACATTCTCAGTTGATTGAAAATTTTGTGTAGTTGAGTACTCATGTTTTCAATGAAAGTTCAAGTAAACTTGGAGAATTCTCGTCTTTTTGTTTTGCTTAAAAATGAGGAATTCCATTAAATTGACAGTGAAGTTTGAAATTCAATACTTCGCCCCCCCCCCCCCCC